TTATATCTAGTTAATCTGACAGCATAATAAGTATCCTCCTTATTAACAACTATTAAGTAATTCTCATTTTCGCAATTAGTGTAAGGGATACACCTAACAATATTGCCGTAGTATGAACTGTCTTTTTCTTTAACTTTTTTAATAATTTTTTCCTCTAATTCTTTGTTTATTTTTTTAGTTTTTTATAAATCAATACTGTCAACAACCCTCCTATCGCTAATAAAATTGTTCCTCCCAAAATTAAACTTTTAGGGAAATTATCATTAGAATTATTTTGCTCTGAATTTTGGGTATTAAGTTTATCACCTTCGACCACACCTTTTAATTTCTCTAATTTTTGCTGATTTTGTTGTAATCTTTCTTGTTGTTCTGAACTATAGCATTTTTCAAAATTAATGTCAGTATAAAAGAATTTTACAAATCAAAGCAATTCTTAAAAGTTTTAGTTAAATCTTGTTGTTGTAATTTAGTTATCGCTTCTTTAATAATCTTCCTCAATTTCCTTTCAGTTCTTGGTCTTTGCTTAGGAGACTTGCTCATGCTAGTTACTTGGAAGATACGAACACAGGTTGTTTAAGCATGTTATTTCCTTTTCTTATATCGCCATCATCAAAAGAAAACTAAAAGCAGAAGCGTAATTAAAACGAAAGCAGGAAGTCAAAACTTAGCATTTTTCCAGCCTTCTAATTTTCATTCGATTGTGGTAAACTCCGAAAAAGTAAATAATTTTTTATCTAATTTTTCTCCATTATTATTTATTTTTTCTACATAGGTTCTTTTTTCTCCGTAAGCACTGGTTTTTCTAACAATTCTTCAACTTTGGGGGTTATTTTTGATGTCTGTTAATTTGACTTGAATTATATTTTTTTTTAGAGAATTACTACGTTTAACTGGGGAGAAATTCCCAGTTACACATATCTTCAGGATCTGCATATAAGTATCAATATCGAATTTTTTTTTTTTTTATATTGATATTTTTCTTTTTATTATAGTGTTGTCGTATCGCCTATTATTTTTCTTCTCTCTGCTTACCTACCTCTTTTTTTTTTAGTGTTATATTGTTCGTCGCATTTTTGTCTTTCATAGTACATTGCGCCATTGGGTCGTCTATATAAGTATTGGTTTGGTTTTTTTTTTGTTCGTGATACTTTTTCTTTTCTTTACTAACCAGTATGCATGTATAACGTCACTACAGTAATTCCATTGAATTTATTACAAAAGAACTGAAGGTATTTTAACTCAATGGAAGATTTAAAATTGCCAACTTCATACAATGATATTGTATTACCGAATGCATTGGGGTTGAAAATAAATCGCCATTTATTAACATAGATTCAAGTGAGTCTTTATTGTAGTCGTTCGCCGGTATAGTTGCTGCATTCTTGTGTTTCGTAGATATAAGTATTGGTTTGGGTTTTCCTTTTTCACATTTCTTGTTCATGTGACTTTTTTTTTTACTAACCGTTCTTTTGTTTGCTATTTTTTTTTTTAGCTTTATACGTTGCGTCCTTAGGTTGTCATCGTTTGGCGGTGTGGTGACCTGGAATTGCTTGGTGTTGTTGCATTCCTGTATTTTATAGGTGTCGTCGTTCATCAGAAAGTATTGGTTTTCTCTTCTTCATATTACTTTTTTTTTTTTTTTTTTTTACTTTACTAATCAGTCCTCTTTTTTGTAGCATATATTCGTGTTATTGTGTTGTCGTTCGTCGCTTGCCGGTGTGGTTGACTGGTATTGTCGCTTGTTGATGCATATCTATTGTCTGTTGTCTTGTGGGTGCCATCGTTACGGATATTGACACTCATTTCGTAGACATAACGACAAACATTCGACATGTTTATTTTACCTACAATGATTTCGTCAACAAGTTTATTTCGCTGACAGTTTATTTCACCGAAGCTCATTTCATAACCAAATTTTTTTTATAAATTCCACTAACCTTAACTCTAATTCTAACCTGGCCTAACGACGATGACCAGAATCATTTTGTTTGTGAAATGAGTTTTGGTAAAATAAACTGTCGGTGAAATGGAAAATAAATTTCGGTGAAATAACATCTTGGTGAATTTTTGTTGGTGAAATGTTATGTTTACGAAATAAGTGTCTGTGAAGTGAGTTGGTGTCGCTGTTTTTAGGAGCTATTACAATTAATGTTATGCCATGAATATTTATGAAATGAATGTATTTTTCATAGTGTTAGATTGCATTGGCGCATTTAGATAGTAAGTTTTTAGAATTAGGGCTGTGAAATTATCATATAACAATTTTTTTGTTTAGGGTTAGATTTTGATGATTTAGATATACTGTTACTATATATAATATAAATAAATAAATAAAAATTTATAATATGAAATTGTTTGGCCGATTTGCAAATTATGTAACTGGAAATTTCCCGGTTAAGATTAGCAATTCTTTTTTTTTTATTCGTTAATCAAGTTAATTGATTTCTATATATCCACTACTTATAAGAACTCAATACAGTAATCTCTTCGATAT